ATGCGCCATGAACCAAAAATAGCGACGAGTGACCGACATCCAATAGGAACTCCCGCGATTGGGATAAGTCGGAATATTCAGCGCTTTATCAAACCCCAGTCCAAACCGCGGTGGCCTTCTATAATAGGACAATAAAATTAGCAAGGCGCCAGAGTATAGGACTATGCTTTCCTCTAGCGGAGGCAGTACGAAGCAGCTGTAAGTCACATTAGGCCATATTCTGTTATTCGCCATCTGACACCCTATATAAATCGTTCATAATTTTAGCCACGGAATTTTGATAATTAAGACACACAGTGTTCAACTACTTAGGCGACGCTAAATCTGAATGATCAAAGCTTGCGCTCTAGATAAGAGAGTGCACCACCTGAGCTAGTCGAGCAGTAATAACAAGTCACTATTAACGTCCACAACACAGGGAACTTCCAAGTTGTATGACCCTTCGTTCGGCTGTCGAGACTGTATAAACGACAAAAAATAGTTAGCTTTAAACGTTAAATTTTTTTTTCTAATGTGCTGGAACATATTTCCTTACACCACTGTCAGGTCGGTTGCGAGAAGAATGGGAGTTGGGTCCATTCGACATGTCCTAATATTTCTCCAGACAGCCACTCCTGATCAAACGGGACACTCGATATTCGAAATCACTGCCTTCACAATGTCAAGTGGATGAAATCTTTGAGGACAGTTGTAACTCACCTCGATCGGGACGCTGGTGTACTCATGCAAGCGCTCGATTGATATGAGAGCATTCTCCAGTTCTGCCGTGAAGCGGACCAGTGAGTTGAGCGCGTCGGTGACCTGCGGTACACTTCGTCATTACACGACCTATTTATAATACTGCCTGTTGCAACATCAGAACTGTAAACGAGGTTCTACCCAGATACAGGCCCACAAGCAGACACACGCACAGGCACGCAGATTCATATACCCTCTTCCCCCCCCCCCCCTCCCCCCCGGGCACACACAAACACAAACAAGCAAAGCGCCAAGTCTGATGCCCAATGCGAGCACGCACACACGCGAGATATTGCGTCGACAAAATTCGGATGTCCAATGCTCCGACGTGAATTGGGCATTAGCCTTACTGCACCTCGAAGCATTCCTAAAATTAGACCACAACTGAGAGCCTGCATTGCATCAGCGACGAAAACTATACACCAGGCTTGTATTGTATATATACAGTCGATCCCATAGTAATTGATTACTTCTATAAGTAATTTTACATTTGATATATCATTTGTGCCCTGTGAGTAATCAAAGAGATGATTTCGTTACTTTCGTGAAGCAGTACAATTACTAGTACTAATTGCCCTGAACTATCACCTGCGAGGCACGAGAGTTCGTGGCCTTTTACGTATTCTTTAAATGAGCGGGCCTCAGACTGTTCCGAGAGCAGACTGCGTTCTGCGACTGCTCTACTACAGCTCCAGGTTCCCGCGTCCGCATCTCGCGACTGCCCCATCATGGCGACTGCTGTTGAAGCGGAGACTTTCCTCAGGGTGCATTCGGCTGCAGCAAAGGGTACTATATGAAGGCTTTTGCTTGCGGGCTTTCTGCACCATCGAAGTGGCGCGGGAATGCCAACGGCGGATGCTGAAAGGTGAAAAGGACAGAGCAAGGGACTCGGCTGCGAAACGGGGGCACGCGGCCCAGCGGTGACAAGAAGCCAGCTGCCATTACGTAGATGTAGAGCCCTGCATATCTGCAGATTATCCGCGGATATCCGAAGTAGACTGGCGGATTGGGATAAAAATGAATCATATTTGGCGGATTGCGCATCGGATGCGGATATCCGCGGGTCCCGATTCACTTTTGCAGAGGCGGCCCATAAACGTGTGCGACCGCTCAAGTATCGTGAATAAGTGAGTTATTTATTTATTTTAAATAAATAATAAATAAAAGTGGGTGATGTTATGAAGTGCGTCATTGAATTTATTGCGGGGGCCAACTACTCTCTCAAATAAAAAATGCCAATCGGGGAGAAAATTGCGCTTTACGTCAATAAAGGTTTGATTCTCACCAAAGATCGCTTTAAAACTTTCTATCTCGCCAAAAATGCTGTTTCTAGAATAACTAAAGAGCGCAGAACTACCAGTCGTCCCGGGAAGCGTGTTCTTGTTTGGCAGGAAAAGAGCGGAAATTGTTCTTTGGGCAAAGGAAACTCAAAACGTACAAGCCACAAGAAAGTAGAAGCCTGCAAGAGGCTCCTTCGCCTACAAGTATACAGGGTGTATTTACTTATTCTTTCAGATTTGTTTAGAGAAGCTGTGAAAGCTGCAGTTATGCGGTTTGTGCAGGTGGGTTATACGGCCAAGAGGACATAGTATAGGGAGATAGTCGCAACTATTAGTTGGCTAATAAAGTAAAATGTGTTACTTAACTTTTTAATTAGTGCAAATAGACATATAGATCCAATTAGAAAGTTGCTGAGCATTATCGAAAACCACTAAATCAACCCTTTTTAGAAGGATATATTGCCGGGGCAGCATTTTATAGCGTTCTGTAAAAACGCTCCATTTGGACGCGTTTCTAGATTTCGGTTTCTTATCGGAGCGCATCTACGCGCCCGCAGTCCTGCTCCACAGTGGCTGCGACGCGCAACACACATCCGCTCTACTTCCCTCCATTCTACGAGGGAGGTGGGGGGGGGGGGGGGGGGGGGGGGGGCTTTGCGTTGCGAGCACCACGGAGCAGGACCGCGGGCGCAAGGATGCGCTCTGATTAGAAACCGAAATGTAGAAACGTGTCCATGTCCAAATGGAGCGTTTTTAAAGAACGCCGTAAAATTCTGCCCCGGCGTTATAACCTTCTAGAAATAATTGATTTAGTGGTTGTTGATGATGCTCAGCAAGTTTCTAATTGGAACTTTATGTCTACATGCATTAATTAAAAAGTTAATTAACAAATTTTATTTAATTAGCCGACTAATAGTTGCGATTATCTCCCTATACTATGTGCTCTTGGCCGTATAACTCACCTGCACAAACCGCATAAGTGTAGCCTTCACGGCTTTTTTTAAGCAAATCTGAAATAATAAGTAGAAACCCCCTGTTTATTAAAAAAAACTCAGTTCTATCCTCTCGAGCGGCGGAACTTGCGCCAGCACGAGTTTCCGCTCCTCATTCTTGTAGCGCAGTTCTTGCATGCCATCGCAGCTTAAAGTGCACCAACGAAGAGAGACTTCTCATAAGCGGGTATTAATTTAAGAGAGGCGAACCAGTCTGAATCCGTGCGTGTGTGTGCGCTTTCTTTTTCTCGACAGTTGGCACTAATGTTTTTTGTTTTGTTTTCAAGCATATGGTTCCGAGTATGCAGTGGACTTTTCGTGTTTAAAACGGTAACCGATAGGAGGCGTTGCCATTATTGAATATTGTGACATTTTCCCGGTGCTGTGCTCGCGCCTTAACGCACATACATGAGTATTTTGCTCCGGCGAGAGACCGCCTTTTCTTTCCCACTTTGTTACTGTTTGGTCTAAATAAAATGGCACATTGGTATTAGTCTGTCCTTTGTCAATTTTAATGTTTATAAAATATGCAAGGCTTGAAATCGGTTTCACAAAGCAAAAAGAAAAAAAAAAGTTTGTTCCTTTTGAGCGCATCGACTGGACAGAGTGTCAGTGTCACGAACTCCCAAGACGAAATAATAACTGCGACCATATCCCGAGAAATGCGAAGCGTCTCTGGAAGGATGATCACTTATTTTATAAATACGTTCAAACAGAATACTATAAAATGACTTTCACTGCATTCTTACACGAAGGGTTATTTGCAGAAAGGTAAGCAGATGGCTTATAAAATAGCACTCAGATGCTTGTTTTTTTAATTTTTATTTAGCTTGATTTTATGATGTAAAAGGAATGCGCTGATTGAGAGTCGGGTGCGGTTTCGAATTTTGCAGATGCGGATCGGATGCGGATGATTAAACTGTTATCCGCGCAGGGCTTTACGTAGATGTGGACCGGCAGTTCAAGAGCTGTTTCTCGTAAGGTCCATTCGGCGCGGTCTGTAATGTGCGCGAAAGACTGGTTTTAGGCAGAAGTAAGCAAAGGTGATCTAAATGTTATTAATTTATAGTCGTTCTTTTTTTCTGTGTTGTTGCTATCTATGGTTAATGTCTTCGGTCATACCTTAGAGGCGCACTGAGGTGGTAATATCTGTCTTTCGGTGGCTCAAACTAATGAACCTGTTTTGCGACTTCTAAAAAGATTTGCGGCGAAAACCGCAAATCTTTTTAGAAGTCGCAAAACACGTACACTAGTTTGAGCCACCGAAAGACAGATATTACCTCCTCAGTGCGCTTCTAAGGTATGACCGAAGACATTAACCATAGATAGCAACAACACAAAAAAAAAAAGATTATAAATTAATAACATTTAGATCACATTTGCTTACTTCTGCCTGAAATGTATTTATAGCGCCTTTTGAAAATGACCCCCCAAAAAAGAAACAGCCAATATTGTTTTCAGTACCATAGCACTCGCGCAGCACATTTATTAAGTTAGAGCCGACAGTAGACAGACATTACGTTTTTAGTGCACTTCTAATGGCATTACCAATGACATTAGCTAAAGCAAATAAAACAAACAAACAAACGAATCAGCTCGAGTCTTATTGAAGGTAACAAAAATGAAGCCTCATCATGCTGAGAATGACCGAAGAGCGTAGAACGTGTACTGGATGCACTGGGCACATGCTATACGTGCGTGTGATGTCACACGCCGTGAAGGCGTCACCTGATGTCACAGTGTAACATTATGTCAAGTGACATCAGTGTCACGTGACCTCATCACGTCCCGTGACATCATGGTGTCATAATTACGTCATGGTGACGTCATAGTGTCAGGTCACGTTATGACATTACATAGACGCCATAGCGTAACTCGACGGCACGGTCCTTCGGTGGTTCTTCGTGACGGTCGGCCGTGACGATATTTTTAATAGAATTCCACGTATAAAAGACGTGACATTCTGCGTTACGAGAAATCCGCATTGCACCTTGAGCGCGTAGAGGAGCGTCAGTCCCGCCGCGGCCGCCCCGGTGGTCTCCCGCCCGTGCACCAGGAGGATGGCGGTGACGAGCGTGATGGCCGTGCCCAGCAGGTTCAGGCGCAGCGTGAGCCAGCGGTCGGCGCACATGAGGTAGAACGAGCTGGCCACCCAGCGCTCCAGCAGGGCGTCCGAGAGGCCCTCGAAGGGCGTCTGCACCCCGTACGCCCGGATCGTCTGCACTCCGGGTACCGTCTCCGAGACGCAGTTGTACAGCGGAGACCGGGACACGGACTCCAGGCGCTGCAGCTGCCTCGACGTCCTCACGTACGTCTTCTGCGTTTCTCAGGAGGAGGCATGCGGGACGTTATGGGGCCGGCGCTTAGAAACCGCCCGCTCAGGCGATTATGGGGCAGACTTCCGAACCGCTACAGGTGAACTGCCAAAGTGTTTTTGACAAATAGTGCACTCCGATATGTTCGCTCGTTAGTGGTGTATTAGGCGGCTGATGCAAATATCCTTTGGTAGCTCTCGAAGAGTATCCTCAGACACCCGCGTTGTTGCACAGAGATGACATCTCAGTAACGCTACTGTCTCATTGTTTTCTTTTTTTTCAAAGTGTACTTGGCGTGGTGTTTGTCAGCTAGAGTGGCTTGCGTCTAATACTTTGACGCCATTTTACCGCCCAGAGTGACTTTATGGTCACGCATAGTCACGAACTTTTTAAGCAGTTCAATATTTTTGAAGGGGGTGGTGCCATAGTTTTTCGACTTTGGCCAATTAACTGCGGGAATTAATATGCCACCTATAAAAGGAAGAACAAAAATACCGCACTTTTTTTTTGCTTGCTAGTTTTTATTTAAAAATAAAACAAATCAAAGGTCAAAATGCCTCTGAACTCTCTTTCGAGTGACGGACTGGGAGGCCACGTGGTTTCCCGTTGCATTCTCTCTTCAGGCCTCAGCCCCACTCCGAGAACGCGTGACCTTCAGTACCCTTCCCTCCTCCTCCTCAAGAGCTGCGCTCTAATTCGGCCTTACAGGGAGTTGTAAACGGCTTTCACTTTTTTTCCTTGGCGATTACGCTAAGGCGTAGCAGTGTTTTTGGGGAAAAGTGACGTTTTTTCTCACTTGTAACTTAATAAACAATTTAAGAATACAAACTGCAAATTATTTCAACATCATAATCGTTGCACTACCCCTTCAACCGCTTGAAATTGTATCAAATAAGGAGGCAGTCGATAGTTGTCTGTTGTAGTTTTCTAGTATTTCTAACTAGGTTCTTCAGATCTACTGACTTACATGTATTGTAAAGTGTTCTACAACTTGAAAAAGTACATTCAGTGCTCATCTCTGGTAATCCTCGGCGGCATGTTCACCTGAATGATGAAGTAGATGAGCACGCAGGGTAGGATTGCCAGCATGAACAAGGGGACGTAGATGGTGATGAGCACTCCGACACCTATCACGTCGGTCAGGTGCTCGAGCATCGCGTCCATGACCATGGGCAGGTAGTAGTCTGCCTGGTCGAGGTCCTTGGTGAACCTGGAGGTACCGCAACCGCAGAACGTTTATATTTATACCAAATAAACTATCGAAGCCCACGAAACATTTCAACCATTGAAAGGATGATCACATGTTTTAGAGCGCAGCTCTTAGGCGCCCGTTTCCGGCTTGAGCGGCGTCAACGTCGCCGTCGCCGTCGCCATCGGCGTGACCGCGCGGTGCATGATGGGTAAATTTCCCCGCTAAATCTAGCGAAAATTTTTTTCCGCTGAATTTAGCGAACAATTTTCCCGCTAAATCTAGCGGAAAATTTTCCCCGCTAAATTTAGCAGAAAACTGTCCCCGCTAAATCTAACAGAAAAAATTCCCCGCAAAATTTAGCGCAACACTTTCCCCGCTGTGTTTAGCGGAAAAATTTTCCCCGCTAAATTTAGCGGAAAATTTCTCCGTTAAATTTAGTGGAAAAAATTTCTTGCTAAATTTAGCGAAAAACATTCCCCGCTAATTTTAGCAGAAAAGTTTTCCCGCCAAATTTAGCGTAAAAAATTTCCCGCTAAATCTACCGGAAAAATGTCCCCGCTAAATTTAGCGGAAAATTTCCCTTAGATGGGAGGCAAGCAGGAGAGGAGGAGGGGCATAGTTCCCTCTCCGTACCTTCCCCTCCTTCTCCTCAAGAGCTGCGCTCTAATTCGGTGTTACTGGGAGTTGTAAACGGCTTTCATTTTTTTATTCACTGCGATATAATATTTCAGTCTAAAAAAAGAAGAAAACACTCTGTACTTTGCATTACTTGTCTCTCCATGAAAAGGGGCGAGGGTTTTAGTTTACGTTATTTGAAAAGAAACTTTAAGGTAAAACGTTTCACAATTATTAAAAAAGAAAGCACGTCGGGGGGGTGTTGTTTCTTTCACGCTCCCCCAAGACCCGTATGATCTCCCCCAGAATTGCCCACAAAAAGAACACAAACCAGTATTCCCCTTCCCCGAAACGGAGCACTCCCCAGAAATTTGTAACAGCCCCTCAGATTGACAGCCCTGGGTAATCTCCTACATTTGGCTGGTGCTCTGAATGCCGGTAGTCTAGACACTTGTGACTGCTTACGACCGAGTGCAGTAAAACTTCTTGTGATCACTTCCAACAAGAGAACACACTGGCGCCATCTCTCGGTTAGCCATGGAACACGCGGTTTCTGTGTATTTTCTACTTGTTTCCCGCATCATGCAATCATTAACAACTTGAAAAACCGTTTGTGAATGTTTTACACGACCATTTCTCATGGATTTACGTACATTGAGTTTTTCTAATATTGCAAAACCTTCGCTTTGGCGAAATGCAGTTCCACAGACACCTCAAAGATGGCGCCAGTGTGCCCTCTCCTTGTAAGAGGTCGCAAGAACTCGGTCGTAAGCAAACGTGAGTGAGTAATGCAGCCACCGTAAGTGGTTGCATGACAAGTATCAAGATAGGCTACGTTCCTTTAATTCATTCATACCACAGGAATTGTAGCAAATATCTAAATAATTTATGAATCAAAACAACTCCTTACGTAAAAAAAAAAGAAGAACAGAAAATTGTGTGACTCAGTTTTTAGGTTTTCAGGAGGCTCCGAACGCAAGCACAAAAAAATCACTCTCTTGCCAGAGCGGGGAAAAGGATCCTTCAAGGGTGTTGCAGGGGCACCTGTTAAGAATGCGTCCCAGCGGGGTGGTGTCGAAAAACCACATGGGTGCCCTGACGACGCGGTACAGGATGCTCTCGTGCAGGCTCTTGGAGGCTTGCAGGGCGCGGAAGCCAAGGATCAGGGAGCCCGCCCAGATTGCCAGACCTGCAAGAGCAACTGAGTTAGATTTATCGAAGAATTTATATCAATATACAATAGAGGCTATTTGGTATTGATTCGAGCACATCTGTTAAAAAAAAAGGTACACTGATGGAGTCTGTGCAGGTGGGTTATAAGCTCACCTTTGGGGGGGGGGGGGGGGGGGGGTAATCAGCGTTGGACAAGATACTCGACAAAAGTATTTACGATTATAGTTATTAAGTATCTGCTTCAAAAGAGTGCTTAGAGAACTATTCAAGTTACTTTCGCTGCAAAATATCTCGAGTAGACTACAAATAGTTCATAATGCGAGTTAAGTACTTTTGAAGATACTTCTGCATTGCATAATTTGTATGGACTGCAATGACACCGAAAAGCTATACTTGCAAGCAACTGTAGCAAGTAAAACAATATCTCATTGCTCTTCTATGCGGCCCCGGTATACGGAGTGGTATCACCCGTTACAAAAAGCAAACAGAGGTGGCTCAACATATGGTCATATCGCAGAAAAACACTTGGGGTGGTTTTATATGCGCACCTTGGACGCATCGCATTACTAAGCACCGAAGTCGCTACATCCCGAGTTCAAGCAAAACGAATACGCAAATAATTTACCAAACGCCGCATTCAGAGATGAATGAACTTCGAAAAAGAAGGCATAAGGGATCACGACAGAACCTTTCCGTTTTTCTTGTTGTTGACAATACCTTAATTTTTTTCCCCCGTACTAAAAAGTGCGTTAAAAAAAAAAAAAAAAAAAAGAAGCCTACAACTTTGGGAGAAATCTCTGTTAGCGTTTTGAGAGCTCATTTTGCTCCTGGCTTGTTTCGTGCCTTGCTGATACAATCCCTGTCGTCATGAAAAGATCGGGATATCCCCCTGCCCCCCACAGACAGTGTTCACGGGAGTGCCACTGACATTCTTGCCTTAGCGGAACAAAAAAACAAAAACAAAAAAAACAAACAACAACAACAATTACAACTATTTTTGTGTGTGTGTGTGTTTCCTTTCGTTTTTTTATTCGTTCTTTTGTTGACGCTCTGAGCATGCGTCGTCGGACGTAGCTTGTCTCCTATCCGGTGTTCAATCGCTTCCGCTAATTCCCGTAAAATAACCTCGGGACAATTTGTTTTTTCAAAGATTGAAAAATATATTTGATACAATGACTACAAGACAATGAGAAATGTAATTTATATAGAGTAGCAAATACTTTCGAGGAAATTTATGTACAAGATACCAAAATACTACCAAAAGCATTTGAAATACAGTATCTTGAGTAAAACACTTGAAGTAGGCACACGTCTGGCCGTAATATAGGCTGGAAATTGTCACGAAAAGTCCGATGAGGAATAAAAATGTGTTGAGTAACTTTTTCACGAGTGAAGATAAACATATGATTCTCATTTTAAACTTGTTGAGAGTCATCGAAAACCACTATATCAGTAAATGTCAGAATATCTTGAAGCGTGTGGGAACCGCGATATTGCGCTAAGAGTTACCACACGCAAGGCTGGCGGTGCGTAAACGGGGATAACAGTGAGTTTGAGGGAACCGTTTTTGCACATTCGATACGGTTTGATGGGTCCTCCGGTACGAACCGCGCATATGCTGCCGCATAACATTCGCGCATGCGCAGTTCGTACCGGAGGACCCAGCGTACCGTACCGGACGCGCGAAAACGGTTCCCTAAAACTCTCTTATGAAAAACGGGAAAACCACACGACCGTGTTTTCGTCGTACCACCAGGCTTTGCGGCTGTTACACGAGTGGTAGCTTTAGCGTACCTCTGCGCTTCCCACGTGCTTTAAGTTCTCCTAAGTTACTTACTCTATGGTTTTAGATGACGCTCAGTAAGTTTGGAATTGGAACAATAAGTTCATTTTCCACTAATTAAAA